AGTTCTTAAGTCATTCAATGCGATTAGCTGGTGACAGTTTCAAAACAAAGATATAAATATCTACAGTAATAAAATGACTCTTATAACAACATATATGAAGAAAGTTCAAGTAAAAGTTATTAACCTTGACATAAGGAAAAAAGATTGATCTAAGTTGGAATGTCGGTCTTCTTACACTTTCATAATTGGGCCATTTTGCGCCTTTCCTTTCATGAAGTTGATGCTGTGATGCTGATCTCCGTTTCCATGCCATTAGCTAGGAGTACCTTAGAGGCAGAATCTACAGCCCACGACAAGCGTAGCGTATATTCTCCTCTTTCTTCCTAAGAGTAACCGGGGTTTGAACTCGGCACCTATCGGTTCTGAATTCAACGTTGAACCAACCTAAGCAACTCTAATCTGAAGCAATATGTGGTAAGTTTCTTGCTCTAAGGAATTCGTGAATAAGACAGAGTTCGCCCTAGAGCAAAATCGAATCCGCATCTCCGGTGTTCGAAGGACGCCTCATTGAACTGTGTCAACACGCCAAAACCTACACATAACCACCGCATGGGTAGATTTGAATTCCTTATGTGGATAAAAAAATGTTGTTCATCATATTCTTCAGAGGGTTCATTAATTTCATTAAAATAAATGCCAATGTTTTGATTCGAACTGCATTCATCTTCAGGGAACATAATATAACTACCGTACATAACAGTAAGTACAACAGACAAGTTGCTCGATATGCTCGACAAAGACCATACTAATGCCACTAAATATGTCTGTTACATAAATTCATTAAATATACTGTAATTGAGCAATGATTCACTCGCTAGATCCAACCTCCATAAAATTCTGACGCCTTACGGATATCACAAGTTTAAGCACTTAAAGCAGCCTTTAACGCAAAGCCAAGATAACGATGGCACACAAACAATATAATAACTAAATCAAACTTGCCATTGCAACAAATAAATCAATAACCCTCGGTAAAGTAAATAAATCTGAAACCTTTTAAAGCCGTATTTGCCCTTCAGCTTCCGCATACATTTTTCCATTGTGCGTTTGCATAAATTCTCATCGTGAGTAGCGAAACATGGGTACAAAACTGTTGGGATCAAAGACGCGTCCACGTTCTAAACAGCAATGTAACACATTCTATACGCAATCTTCAGAAGGGATTTGCATAAAGAAAACATTTTATTGTTTGCGGTACGGCCATTATCGCAGTAATGCACTTCACTGTCAATTATGCAATGTTAGAAGCATGAAGGTTCTAACTGGGATCAAAAAGAATGGGCGGAAAATTTCATAATCAGATGATAGTGTGAAGCAGTAAAGATTCTGTTTCTCGAAGACCTGTAAATAGACGTGAAACATTTCGCAGGGGTAATTATGAACTTCATTATGACCTTAAAGGAAATCAGTTTTGGATACGGGATATCGCCCAATAAAATTTTTAACGAAGACAAACTGAAAACACTGATTAATGCTATTTAGCCTCTGAAGAAAGGGCGAAGACTTCTGAACGAAACCAAAAGAAGATTTTGATTTGGAATGGACTCCGATTTCAGCATCAGCATGCTGAATCGAAGTTGTCGCCTTGAATAATCAATCGAGAAGCACACGTTCAAAGACACTAAGCAAAGATATCTCAGATTTTCATCAATAGATACAGATTATTCATTTGCTCGTTCATTCGCTATTGTAGTTGGATCAGTTTTTTAAGTCACAACAGTAGCAACTTCAAAAGAGTCTTTCCAACGGTCTTTGTCCTTTGCCAATAGGGTCAGCTTTATGAACTCGATTATATGACGGAACAACGGCAAGTACTCAATATGCTTGAGCCGTCAGGTACTAACTGACCTACCATTTCATTTTACTTCACGAAGTGTCAGCCTTGCAGGTATATTTTTTTTCCCAAAAACGCTGTGTTCAAGTCTCTCAGAACTTCGTCATCAAAGCGATCCTAACAGAGAAACACGCTTGTGCCGCTGGTATCAGAAATCCCCCTCTTTCGGTTACTTTCATTTCGTATATCCTTAAAACAGAGCTGCAAGAAAGGAAGGTCAATTTCAAAAACTGTTTCATTCAACAAGTACTGACGCTGGCCTCTGCTACACGACTCCTCAAAGGAAAAAATGATCTCGCTACGCTATTTGTAGGGAGAGCGAGTATTAAATGATAGGTCACCGTGAACTGTACACAACTGCAGCAGCTAAATACAACTTTCTCACAAAACACGATGGTTCATGGTCTAGTATGTGATCTAAGAATACAGATCTAAGTGCATTAGCAATCAACTTATGCAATGGCCCATGTCATGACAAAATTCGAATTAGATCAGACGTGACTAGAAGTCTTATTGCAGCAGTTTTCAACTGCCTGATACCTGGAAGTGAGCTGAGAGTAAAAGTTTGACAATGAGACCAAAATTCGACGAGGTCAACGAATATCCAGCAGTTTCACTTATTTTTGGTTAATGTTTCTGAAAATATGCGCTGAGAATGACGTAACTCTGAGGAATACACTCTACTAGCTAATGCTTACGTTGCGTCTGAACGTCCGTTAGTCAACCTCGAAGATTTCATGGATTTCTTCACGGACTACTTCGTTCATCACTTTTCTCGTAATTTCCATTTTGAACGCTTCGTTCAGGTGCTTTCTTTCGAGCTATCAACAATGCATCTTCTGGGCTCTCGCCGTGCCACCTGAATGGACTGTTTCAAGAGATGTCAAAGACTAGAAGCTGGTGCTGGCCTGAAACAGTTTCCCCGGTGATAACCTTTCATTCTCTGACATTCTTAAATTCATCCCAATGGAGTAGAAAGTAGTCGACCTGACTTTTCTTCTATCCGCTCTTGTAAGTTAGCAGGCGGTTTTCACTTTTCTGTAAGAACACGTATATCGGAGCCAGATCACATGCAACTGCCACCTGCAAGACGTTCTCTCCCTGTTTATTTAACATACCCTGTCCATATCCTGTCGTAACCCCTTCGATGTTTTCCAACGTGGCCATTAAGGTCAACCTCGATTATCATTTTTTCGCTTCGCGGTATGTTTTGCAGTGCAATGTCTAGGCTCTACAAGAACGTCTTTTCGGCTTCATTATGGCTAGTCTGGTGGGTTAAGGCACTTACTATATGTAAGATACTACTATCCAAAGTCAGCTTAACGAAAATGATTCTATCGCTAATTCAGTTGTCCTCGAATACCTTATTTCTGGTCTCTTCATTCAATACCACTCCAAATATGTTTGTTATGCTTGATGTTCCATCGTAAATAAGTCTGTAGCCTTGCCTAATCTCCTTCGAATTCTCATCATTCCATTTCGTCTAGTGAATACAAGCCAGCTGAATTTTTCTTGTCTGACGAGCCTCCGCTAGCTCCATGCCCCTTCCCGTCATTGTTCCAACGTTCCAAGTGGGTATTTGCATTTTCTCACTTCGTTTTTGGCATGTCAATCTCTCCTGCCCTCGTCGCAATATCTGATACTCTTGCTCATTTCTCATAGCCGCCGGGATTTGCTGCTACACGTCGTCTGTGGTTAACGACCTAGAATATTTTCTATAGGTAAGTTGATTTGTCATATTTGGCCTCGGCAATGGCTTTAAAGGCCGACCGCTTGCCTAACGCCAACCTGTCTTTTTCAACCGAGCAGGGAACCGGCTACGGCTTGTTGGGGTTAGCAGCATGCTTACTTGATGGCGGCACGTATTTGCCATGCCAGCGCGCTATCATCGGGTAATGCGGCATTTTCTAGAGCCAACTTTGCCAAAGGTC